CGAACATAGTTGCTGTTGTTTTGTGCGTTCGAGTCATTTCCGACTTACGGCGACCCTAATGTTGTAGTGGTTTGAGTGTTGGACTGTGACTCTGGAGACCAGGGTTCGAATCCTGGCTCACTCATGAAACCTACTTAGGCAAAAATTAACACTCTCTCAGCTTCACAGGATGGCCAGGACAAACCCCCTCTGAAGAAACTGGCCAAGAAAACCCTCTGATATCGTCACCTTAGGGCAGGGTGTGGTCACCACAAAGGAGGACAAAGCCCTGCAAAATGTAGGACCTTCGAGAAAAAATAGAAGACATGACTAAATGAAAAGCTAAGAACACTCATAGTAATCCATGCTTCTTAGTCCTGCTTGAAATAGAGGACGTTTTGGAATTCCTCCTGGGCGGAAGGTTGAAATGGAGGACATTTCTGAGAAGAGGAGGACAGCTGGTCACCCTGTCTGAGGTTTGCCAGAAGTCAGAAATTACTTGAAGGCACACAACAACAACAACAACAACAACAACAACAACAACAACGGCTTTTTCTTGGCAAGGTTTGTTCAGAAGGAGTTTGCCCTCGCCGTCCCCTGAGACTGAGAGAGTGTGACTTGCCCAAGGTCACCCAGTGGGTTTGTATGCTCTAGTGGGGATTCGAATCCTGGTCTCCAGTGTCAAAGTCCAACACTCAAACCGCTATGCCACACTGTCTTGTGTCTCTCTGTGACTTCATGTCATCTGTTGATTTATGGCAACCCTATGTTTTTCACAGGGTTTTCTTTTAGGCTACATCCACACTGCAGAAATAACCCAGTTCCACACCACTTTAACTGCCGCAGCTCAATGCTATGGAATTCTGGGAAGTAGTTTTGTGAATATATAGCCTTCTCTGTTCCAGAGCTCTGGTGCTACAACAAACTGCAAAATCCATAGGATGGAGCCATGACCGTTAAAAGCGGTGTGAAACTGGATTTTTTTTGCAGTGTGGATGCAGCCTAAGACACCTCCAGAGATGGTTTTCCCAGTTCCTTCCCCTGAAATATAGCCTACAGCACCTGGTATTCATTGGTGGTTTCCCACCCAAGTATCAACCTGGGCTGACCCCTGCTTGGCTCCCAAGATCAGATGAAATCTAGTGCCAAGGCAAATCCACCAGGTATAAATCCCAAGAGTGTGGTGTTGTCACCAAGGAAATCCACATCCTAAAGCCTCACTCCGCCTAGCCCCCTGTTCTGATGTTTTGGATTGTACCTCCCATCATCCCCAGAAAGATAATGGGAGTTGGAGTCCAATATCTCTGGAGAGTCAATGTAGTGTAGTGGTTTGACTGTTGGACTAAGAACTGGAAGACCAGGGTTCAATTCTTAGCTCAGCCATGGAAACCTACTAGGTGACCTTGGGAAGTCACACTCTCTCAGCCTCAGAAGATGGCAACTGCAAATCCCCTCTGACGAAACTTGCTAGGAATACCGCATGACAGGTTCTTGTTAAGGTCGCCATAAGTCGGAAATGACTTGAAGGCACACAACAAGAACAACAACCTCTGGAGAGTAGAAAATAACAGTGGACCTATAAATACTGACACTTGTGGCTGGTTAACAATGGAAGAGAAACCAGATGTCAAGGCAGGGTGTGGTGGGTGTTTTCATTGTAGATCTATTTTGTAGTTGGAGATTTCCTAAGGATGGATCTTCTGGGGATGGGCAGAAGAGGTTCCGGAGACTCGATCCTACTGCCAACTTGGAATCAATTTCACACATTGAAGAAATAATCCTGTGGATCCCTATGGCACACATTTGGAAATGCCAGGGATTGATGTGCAGACATTGTGAAGGGGTGGGGGAGCCAGTGTGGCGCAGTGGTTTGAGTGTTGGGTTCGAATCCTGGATCAGCCATAGAAACCCACTGGGTGACCTTGGGTGAGAAGTCACACTCTCTCAGCCCCAGGGGAAGGCCACGGCAAACCTCCTGTGAACAAATCTTGCCAAGAAAAACCTATGGGTCGCCGTAAGTTGGAAATGACTTGAAGGCAAACAACAACAAGGAAGGCAAGAGCCACTGGCTGCCAAATTTTCCCACCCAGGGGAAATAAATAAATAAATAAATAAATTAAAATAATAATAATAATAATAATAATAATAATAATAATAATAATAATAATAATAATAATAATAATAATAATAATAATAATAATAATAATAATAATAATAATAATAATAATAATAATAATAATAATAATAATAATAATAATAATATCATGGGTGGAAAGACTAAATGAGGAGGTGATTTAATAGTTTTCCAAAGAGGGGTGCCTTTGAAGGACTTCTCAGATTTGGAGGAAGGCAAGAAGGTGGGTGCAAATGAAAATAAATCACACGTGGAAAGTCCAAGGAAGATGATGACTGATTTAATGATTTTTCCAAAGAGGGAAAACTTTGTCTTTGAGTGCCTTTGAAGGGCATGTTGGGGCTGGAGGAGGGCAATAGCCACTCAGTGTCAAATTCTCCCATTCAGGGAGGGAAAAAATAAAAATAAAAATAAATCACGCGTGGAAAGACCAAGGAAGGAGATGACTTAATGCTTTCCCAAAGTGTGTCTCTTTCAAGGGCTTGTCGGGTTTGGAGGAGGAGGGCAAAAGCAACTCGCAGCCCTCTTTTCTCATCCAAAGGGAAAGAAATGAATCTAAGAAAAAAGAAATCACGCGTGGAAAAGCTATGGGAAGATATGATGATCTAATAATGCTTTTGCAAAGTGGGATGCCTTTGAAGGATTTCTCAGGTTTGGAGGAAAGCAAGACCCACTCAGGGTCGAACTTTCCCATCCAAGGGGGGGGGGAAGGATAAAATAAAAAATAAATCACGCGTGGAAGGTCTAAAGGAAGAGATGATCCAATGCTTTTGCAAAGTGGGATGCCTTGGAAGGACTTCTCAGGTTTGGACCCACTCAGGGTCGAACTTTCCCACTGAGACAGTGGGGGGGGGGAAGGAATAAAATTAAAATAAAACTCTCTCTACCAAAAATCCAATAGAGAGGGGGGGGGGGAAAGAAGGCTGAGGTTTGTATCGTATGCAAATACGCAAGCTGACGTCAGAGATCATGTGGGCTTTGGCGTCGATCGCCACCACCGATCGGAGAGAGAGATTTTTATTTTATTTTATTTTATTTTTTCCTTTCCTTTCCCCTCCCCACCCTTACACCCGTCACATTATAAAATATAATCTTTTAAAAATATCATCCTAATAAATCGCCTGGCAACGTGGGGGGGCCAGTGGTTGGAACGCGGAGGTCCCCAACGTTCTAGAACGCCGGGGGCCCGGGGAAAGTTCGGTGTCTCAACGTTCCAAAGCCTTTGATCCCAGGTAAGATGAAAGGAAAAAGGAGAAAGGAAAGAGGTATACTGTAATAATAATGATAATGATAATGCCAAACCCAAACAAACTTCGACCTCCCTTCTTCCGCTTTCCTTCTCTCTCTGTCTACACCTCTCTTTCTTTCCTTTTATTTCAAAGCCACACACAATCCTTTTTTAATTTTATTTTAAAGAGAAAATAGGAAAAAAAAGTATGGATATTATTCTTTCTTGCAACAACAACAACAAAAATACAAGCTTTTTGGAGAGCTCCGCCTAGACTTTAGTTAGGGGGGGTGTCTTGGTTTGAGACTTCCACTCAAAAACTTTTCCTCCTTCCCTTTCTTTGCAAAGGAAAACAACAAAAAAAACAAACCCTTTCTCTTAATAATTGAATTTATAAATCAGATTTACAGATATATATATATATATATATATATATATGGAGTGGGCAAAGTGTTTTTGTTGTTTTTGGCTGCTGTGCAAACCGATCTCTAGATTTTTATTTTATTTTATTTGCAAAGGGAGAGAAGATGGGATCTGGTTTGTTTGGGGGTTTGCTTGTGTCTTGTCTTTTTTTTTTTTTTCCTTCCTCAAAAATAAAATAAAATAAAAATAATTCAGTGTCTTACGTTCCTCTGCTGTCGACATCAGCCACACAAAAATATGGCGTCGGTTGTGGAGAGGGCGTTACGTAGAGAAAAGAGGAGGAAGGCGATCATGCAAAAAAATAATAATAATAATAATAAAGGGTTTGGAGGGGGGAAAACACAGATCTCCTTCCTTTCCAAAGATCTCCTTACTTTAACTGCCCCTTCTGTACATACACACCTTGCAAAGGCCATAGCTTTTGGGGTTTTTTAACCAAAAGTCTTATGAGTTTATAGGGGGGAAATAGGAGGGGGGTATCCAGGTTGGCATGGATTGGAACCCCCCACACCATAAGGATTTGTCTTTTGTGGTTGCATGATGTGTTGGGTTGCAATTTCTATGCACACAAACACACCCTGCTGCAGAGGCAGAAGAACCAAGCAATCTTCCTTCCTTCCTTCCCCTTCCCATTAATACTGGGTTTTTAATACTGGTTGTTTTTAAAAAGCTATCATACACACACCCAAAATCTCCCATGGTTTTCCCCACCTTACAATATTTGGAAATGCAAGATTTGTGGGGTGCATCTGATAGGGAAAATGGGTCTTCCTAGGATTGGGTGTCCTATTGCACCAAAGGGTG